TCTTTCTAGTTCACATTTTATTTGCACAATGAGAATTAATGTGGAAATAAATATATATTTTTATAAAACAGAAAGATAAAATCCACACTCCTAGCTTTATATGAATTTCATCTGGTCAACTATGTCTTATTTCTGTAGCACAGCTTTCAAAATTTGTTCTGTTTTTTATTTTTCAAGATTCTCATTTGTCTCCAAGGGCAATGCACCTAATACCTTTCCTTGTCTTTATTTGAGTTCATGCATTTGAAGAACTCCTTAGAAACTTGGGGTTAATTCATGAACTGACTATAAAATTAAGTAGCTAAAAATTATTGACCTGAACCATGTGAGTGGAATTTAGTTAAATTTGTCTTATGATAAATATGATAATTACTGAAACGTAACTTTCCTCTGTCTTCACCCTTGCCCATACTTGTTATGATCCAGATTCTGCACTGCCTCAAAAATAAAATTAAGATGAGTAACTGCAAGGCAAAGTTTTGTTAATCGAATACTTTATGTACTGATGCATTTGCATTATTCTTTCACCTTTCAATCACTACATTCAAAATTTACTTTAATATAGATAATAATAGAAAATAACACTTTAATACAGCCTTGCCCCATTGCCAAGTGGTTAAGTCCGCATGCTTTGCTTTGGCCACCCAGGGTTTTGCCAATTCGGATCCTCGGTGCGGAGCTAGCACTGCTCATCAAGCCATGCTGTGGCAGCATCCCACGTGGAAGAACTAGAATGACCTACAACTAGATATACAACCTGCACTGGGGCCTTGGGGAGAGGAAAAAAAAAAAAGAGGAAGATTGGCAACGGATGTTAGCTCAGGGCCAATCTTCCAAAAAAAAATTTACTATAGAGAATCAGCATCTGGGCAGGTGAATAGGGAGGGCAGTGAGAGCAGATGTGTCTCTAGACATGCTCCCTCTGTGTTTTAGCCTCCACCACTGTGGCCTTTGCTAAATGTTCTTGACGGTTCAGTGTCTGTGAATTTTGAGGTGAATGGTGTTCAGGAGTTTCACACTATTTTATAGACGCACCATTATGTGATGGTTTTAGTGCTAGAAACCGCTTAGAATATGAACCTCCTTTCTATTTCCTTTTCTCTGAGCTTTAAGTCATGTTACTTCTCCTCTCGAAATCTCAGTTTCCCCATAGCTAATAGAAATAACAATATCTTGGGGCCGGCCCGGTGGCGCAGCGGTTAAGTTCGCAGGTTCCGCTTCTTGGCGGCCCGGGGTTCGCTGGTTCGGATCCCGGGTGCGGACGTGGCACTGCTTGGCAGCCATGCTGTGGTAGGCGTCCCACGTATAAACTAGAGGAAGATGGGCACGGATATTAGCTCAGAGCCAGGCTTCCTCAGCAAAAAGAGGGGGACTGGCAGTAGTTAGCTGAGGGCTAATCTTCCTCCAAAAAAAAAAAAAAAAAAAAAAAAGAAATAACAATATCTGCCTTGTAATATTGTTGGAGTATTAAGTGAGATAAACACAGACATATATTACATATATTATACGTTCACTGAAATACTATATAGATACACACACAAAGTGCCTATAAAATAATAATAAAAAGCCTAACAGCATAGCAGAAAAACTATAAAATAGCTTAGTCACTTAAGAATTATAATTGGCTAGGAAATATATGAAAATATGCTCAATCTGTAACATGGAAATAAGATAGTTTTTGGTTGGCTTTTATTTTCTTCAGTACTCAAACAGTTGATACTATCTGGAGTTGGCCAAGATATAAGGAAATGGATTCCATATTGTATTATTTTTGGAAGTGTGAAAAGATAAAGCTTTTAGGGAGGACAGTTTGGCGTTATTTATCCAAATGGCAAATATTCATTTCCTTCCAACCAGCAATTGTACATCTAAGTATTTCCTCTTAGAGAAATACTTAATGTATACAAAAATGGCATATGCAAGAATGATAAAATGTGCAAGCAAAGGCGTATGCAAGAATAATGGCAGTATTATTTTTAAAGCAAAATATTAAAAAGTACTTACATGTCCATTGACAGGGGAGTGATCAAATAAATTATGGTTTATGCATACTGTGGAATATCATGCAGTAATTTAAAAAGGCTGGGATAGATCTACATGGACTGAAATGGAAAAGTATCCAAGACGTATCAAGTGGACAAATGTATAATGTGACGTATTGTATAATCCCATTTGTGTAAGAAAACTACTTTGTGTATATACTTACATATAGAAATGCATAGACAAAGATCAGTAAACTAACATTTGTTTCATTTAGGGAAGGAATTAGAATTTGGGAATCAGAACGAAAATGGGTTTTTACTTTTTATTCTATTTACTTCTATAATTTAAAACCTTTATAATAATATTTTTATGCATTTACTTGTGTAACTTTTTTTTAACTTTTTTTTTTTTTGAGGAAGACTAGCCCTGAGCTAATATCTGCCAATCCTCCTCTTTTTGCTGAGGAAGACTGGCCCTGAACTAACATCCATGCCCATGTTCCTCTACTTTATATGTGGGACGCCTACCACAGCATGGCTTGCCAAGCAGTGCCATGTCCGCACCCGGGATTCGAACCGGCGAACCCCGGGCTGCCGAAGCGGAACATGCACACTTAACCACTGTGTAAAGAAATCAATCCCAAAACGAATAAATAAATTCACCAACCACAAAGCCTGACATGTAATAGGCACTTAGTAATAAGTCACTCAGAAGTCCCTTTGCCCTGTGTGGCATGAACCCCAAACCCCACAGTGAAGTGAGGGGATTTCATGGTTGTATTCACATCATACACACAGTGTACATATCCACCTGCTCCACTCAGGTGTCAGTCAGAAACATTTTGGGGAGTCATTCAGAATCAAGCAGCTTTGTGAAAGTTATCTTCTACCAAGGTAAGGTGAAATGGGGAAATGTGATAACCATTTTTCTGAAAAACTATGCCTTATAGTGCCAAGTTCCTTGGAGGTCACAGCGTTGACTTGGTTCGTTGTTTATGCAGATGGGGCTGTAAAGGTCTGTTTTATAGACTTCCTAAAGGCACTGAGGTTATTGAGAGAGCTGAGTCATAGCCAAATCTCCATTCCACAAAAATTTCCTGAGTACCTTATGTGCCAGACATTGGCAGGCGGCAATGGACATACAGAGAAGATCTGACATAAACCTTCCACTAAGGAGTACACAATGTTGTAGGGGTGGTCAGTCGACTCACGTGCAAATATTCTTTTGCTAAAAGAATGTTTGTTGAGGGTCCACCATGAGCCAAGCGCTATTTTCGACACTGGAGATAATGCAGTAAAGAGAACAGGGCAAAGGTCAGCGCCATCATGGAGCTTGCATTCTAGTGAGATATACAGACATACTCAAACTAAGTAAGTGATATATATAGTGTGGTGAGAGTGATAAGTGTGAGTCAGAAAATAAGCAAGAGAGAAGTGACCTAGTAGCTAAATTTTTCACAGATGGTGGGAAATAACCAGGAAGTGATAAATGAAAATGAACAAGGAAGAGTACAGGAGTAGTCTATTGGTAGGAATTTGAAAGCTGTTTTTTGTTTGTTTCTTTGTTTTTAGGGGGGAGCGATGAAGAAGAATGGGGAGATGTAGGTCAAAGGGTGCAATCTTTCAGTTACAAGAAGAAGAACTTCTGAGGATCTAATGTACAGTATGATGACTATAGTTAACAATATGGTATTGTAAACTTGAAAGTTACTGAGAGTAGATCTTAAGGATTCACACCACACACACAAAAAAAGAGTTAACTATGTGAGGTGATGGATGTATTAATTATCTTGATCTTAGCAATCATTCCACAATGTATATATATATCAAATCATCACATTGTGCACTTTAAAATATGCAATTATATTTGTCAATTATGCCTTGATAAAGTTGGGAGAAAAATAAGACTGAATTGAAAGAAAAAATTAGGAGTAAGGGAGATGTCTACTCCATGTGAAGTCAGGTTGATGTGAAATGTGAGGCTGTGAAAAAGAAGAGAGGCCCCCCTGGAGATGGCTGCAAGGAAAGCAGTGTTCTTGGTAGGGAATGTGGGGCAGTGCCAGGTGTGGTGACATTGTGGAGGGAAGTGGATTATCCGTAGAGAAAGCTGAGGATGATATTAAATGGGTTTTCTGATCTTTGACATGAGTTTCCAGCTACATAGTGACAAAGTCTAGGTAGGAGATACTATCAGAAATAGCAGTATCCAGAGACATTTAGAAATTAGAACTCCAGGGATGAGGAATGGCCTGAGATTGACATACCAGGGATGATGATGGATGAGGACAGGGGAGTGGGGCCATTCTTTGCTGGAACACACAGTTGCTGGGACTTCCATTAATGGAAGCAGAGTCTTGTTGAGGGGTATTCATACTTCAAACAGATCAGCCTTCTCTGCATGAGAGAGAGGCTGTTACACTGAGCACTAGAATGCTCCCTCTTGACCCCTGCCTGCTGGCCAGTTTTTGTACTATACTATGCTGTTGCTTTCCAGCCTCTCGGTCACCGTTAGTGCATTATGCATGCACTTAGAGGAGGATGGTGTTAGTGCATTATTGGAGTTAGTGCCTTAGGCATTATACACGTGTTGAAGGGAGGGTAGGATATACAAAGAAGGGCTCCATTTAGTAATAGTAATTTCAATGTTGATGCGTTAGATTTTATTTGTTTTGCTGCTGGAAAACCTATGTGGATAGATTTATCCAAAGATGATCCAAATCATTGTTCTCATAACTCATAACTCTCCAATTGAACTTTATGTTTCTTTTTTACAGAACCTTTAAAAAATGATGAAATGTCAAACTGGAAGAGGAGCTTTTTATTTCTCAGAACTATTTGACAAAAGTCTCAAACACGTTCCCTGATAAAATATCAACAAAATTACCTCAATTAGTTCTACCCCCTGGGTGGTGCTTTTCAGGAGTACTTTTCTGAAACAGCCATCACAAGGATTAAAATTATTTGTTGACTTATGCTGATTATTTCTTATTGCTAAAACTTGCCATTTTGAATGTGCAGGTATAAATATAAGCAAGAGTGAGATAGCGAAAGAAACATCGTTAAAACCATCCAGGAGATCCCTGCCATGCCTCGCCCAGAGCTTTGCGTACTCCAAGAACTTGAGCCAATCTACCTCACTCTTCCAGTCAACAGAGAGTGAATCTCAGGCTCCCACTTCTGTGACCTCAGTCTCTGCTGACAAAGCAGAGCAAGGTGAGCAGCTCTTCCTATTTTCTGGTTCAACTTATAAAGAGTGCTTTTAAACCACTACTTCCTTCCTTTCTTCATCCGTTTTGCTAGTATTTATCAAGCTCTTTAGAAGGAACAGTATACTGTGCCAGACTGATGAAAGGCCACTGTTTGTCAGATGTGTTTTCATTTCTTTCTTATCTTGAAAATAGCCAATCCCATGGGAACCTGGACCTAAGCCTTGCTGTTTGCAGGAGAAAACAGACCAGCTACATGAATATATGACTCATTACCATTTCTGGAGAGAACTTATAGCCAGAGATTAGGTAGACTATGTCAGCAATAATAAACTCAGTTTCCTAAAAAGAAAGACCAAAGACTTTAAATAATACTGGCAATAAAATGTGAAGATTGACCTGCACGAAGATATGGTTGGACAGGTGTTCACAACCAAATGTTGGCTTCAAAGCCTTGGATAACACAAGGGCTGAAATATAGTCAAGGGCTGATGCCACATTAAAGAGACTCTGTGGCTGTCCTCAGGCGCTCTTCTACACACATCTGCCCATCTGAGGCACACCATTATGCCTTTAGACAATTCCTTTTCACAAGTCAGGAGTCAAAGTACAATCAGGTCCCCGTCATTCAGTGGATGGGGTGTGCTTTTACTTGCCCATCCCTCTCTAAGAGGCTGTTGTCTTATGAGAAGGCGTTCATTCCCTTATGATTCCTTAACGTTGCTTCTTCCTCTGGAGAATTTGAAAATACCAAGATTCTCTTTTCAATAATATTTCAAAATCACTACTGATTATAAATAGTCACCTTACACCTATGTCCAATAAGGAAAGTGACTAACTGTTCAAGAGGATGAAGGTATTAAAATATAATAGAGACTTATCTTTCCCTTATTGAGTGAAATTTTAAATAACTAATTTCAATTCATTAACTTAAAAAAATTCTGGAGGTTTGACTATTGTTTGGACATCAGTCACCATGGTCATTTTTCTAACAGTTGTTATGTTTTTATTTCCCAAAACTATGAAATGTCTTTTTTTTTCAGTTAACACCGAGGAGGATAAAAAAGACTCTGTGCTCAAATGTTCTTTTGCTGACCTCGGTGATTTTTGCTTGGGTGAGTTGATTTCTAGCTCTTCCTTCCTCCTTTCCCCCTCTCCAAAGGTAAGCTGTCTTCCTCAAATCTAGAATATTATTTTTTTAAGAAAAAAAGAAAAAATTCATGCTTTGTCTTTAGCATTTGATGGGTGAGTATAGTATTCTAAGGTTAAAAAATGATTAAGGTATTATGTACAGTTTGAAATTCAAGTAATATAAGAAGAATTGTAATGAACAACAATCTGGTAACCAAAAAAAAAGTTAACAATTTCTGCTGCTAGTCTTTTGAAAATTTCTTTCAATTCTCTATTTATACTCCTATTTCTAGATTTATCAAATTTCAGAATTATCTGTTGACCCCCTGTTGTGCCACATAACGGTTTAGCCTATTTGCATAACCTTTCAATTTTTCATAGTTATATTACCATTTAAAATTTTAAACCTCTCTGCTGATTAAATCTATAACTTTAAATAGTACATCTACGCCTTTATACCATACTCTATCACATTTCAACAATATCTCCTGACTCCTCACTTGGCAAATTTATTACAGCTATGAAAATAATGTTTTCTGCAAATGTAGCATCCGCTATCACTTCTTTTTCTACGGTCTCGAGTTGTTAGGGCCTCTCTGCCACTCTTGAATAGCCCTATAGTCAAGGTCAAATTGATTCCACTTTCCAACCCTCCATCAAATACTCAAAATCATGCTACACTAAGCTTACTTTTTTGTTTATATCACAAAGTTTTGTTAGTTTTATTTTCCTAGATTATCTGATTTCTTTTTCTTCCTGTGAGAAAAGAATATGCCTTCTTCTAAATGTACCCATTATGTGCTAGATTATTATTTTTATATCCTTCATCTCAGTCTTCTTCTATAAGAAATTCTTGGATTTCATTGACTTCTCATTGTGTTACTGGGTTAATTCTAGTTCCTAACATCCCATATATTCCTCTTTCTTAGTTTCCATTCTCATTGTTTCAAAGCATATCCTTAAGCAACTACCTCTGAAGGCTTATGTTAGATGCAAACTTTCTAAGTTATTGTATATTTGAAATGACTTCCGTTTGCTCTCACATTTCATTGATGTTGCTTGGTTATAAAATTCTAGATTAAAAATCATTTCCCTCTAAATTTGTAGACTGATTCATTGTCGTCTAGGGTCCATTGTTAATGCTAGAAACCCATTGCTGTCTGATTCTTGTTCCTTTGACATTTATTTTTTTTCTTCTCTCTATACATTTTTAGTATCTTACTTTACTTTTTGTGTTATAAAATTATACCACATTAAGTTTACATGTTTGTATGTGTGAGTATATCCATGTGTGTGCACACTTATGCATGTGCATGTACGTGTGCATGTGTGTGTGCGTGTGAGTGTCTTCAGTCATCCCGCCCTAGAGATTATTTGCATATTTCATATTTCATATTTCAGTATGTCTCATGCCTCCTTTCCACCTCTGTGTAATTTTCCTGTAATTTATGCACTTTTATTTCCTCCTTTTTTTTTCTGGAAGTCCAATTTAAAAGTTAGACATTTTCTTTCATCTTATGGTTTCAATTTCTGCCTCTTTTCTGGAAGATTCCCTGAATTTTTCTTCTAAATGTCTTTTTCATTTGTGTGTGTGTGGCGGGGGTGTGCAATCATATATGGGTATTTAATTTCCAAGACACATTTTTGTTTTCAGAATGTAACTTCTCAGAGGATCCTATTTCATGAATACATCTCTGATGTGTCTAATAACATTTGTGATTGTCTTAAGTTTTTCTTTACTCTTTAAATTTGAGTCTGTTTTTCTGGAATCAGTTTTTCTGACTGTTTAAATTAGTCATGATCTTTTAGGCTATAGAATTTCCTAAAATTTCTGTTGATCTTTGGTCATCTATTTACATTTAAGAATAAAAGAACAGGAAAACTGACTCAGAACTCTGAGTGCACAAACAAGTCCTAGAAACAAAAAGACTTCACTCTAGAGTGGCTGGCTAAGAAGCCGTGACTTCGATGACCCACCAGTGTCACACTGAGGACTGTGCTCTAACGTGCCCATTCCCACATTACTGCTCTCGCACCCGGAATTTCTTTAGAGAAAAGGTTTGTGTTTGCATGTTCTGTGGTCAGACCTTCAGTTTTCTTCATGTTTTCACCCCTGATTCTCGCTCCTGGCCTCTGTTTACCTGCCATGTCCAGACATCTCTAGGATTTGGCTAAGGAGATTCACTCTCTCTTCCTGCCTCTGTAGAAATTCTAGGTTAAGTAACTCCATCAGTTTACACTCCTCCATCAGAATTTTGCTTGCCAGAAAACTGTTGTAGGTTCTTACTTTCTGAAGGTTATTTTATCGTAAGATGCAGTCTCCAGAGGAAGGGACTACAAACATACTTGAAAGCTCCTTCAGCTATCTCGAACTCTGCTTCTTTACTATCAACTAGTTGATGATAAATGGTTCTTTGACGAGATATTTCACTGTCTGGACCAAAGGAGGAAACCTGTGCAACATTTATTTTAGGGACTCAATACAGTCCCTAAATTTTATATTTTATATATATTAATTTTATATCTAAAAATCTATCCCAATAAAAATAATAACAGAAATGAAAAACATTTTTGCTCACACTTTTATTTATAAGTATCAAACTTAGAAATGGAAGCAAATTGAATATTCTAGTAATATGGGAGTGGTTAAATAAATTGTAGAACATCTCCATGCTAGAATATCACATAACCATTAATAAATTGTATTATCGAATGTCTAGTGACATGTTAATAAGTGGGTTAAAAAGAGCTTAAATACAAATGTAGACCTCTCAGTTTAGTTAAAAATGTATTGGAAAAGAACTAGAAAGATATGTACCAGCGTGCTAGCTAATAGTGAGTATCTCCACGTTTTGGGATAATTTGTGGTTATATTTCTACTTGATGTCTGTATTTTCTTTCTTTTTTCTCCAAACCACATATACAAATATGACTATGTAAAGAAAAATATTCACATCAGAAGTTTTTAGTAAGTAGGGAAAAATGCTCATATTTCAGTCAAAATAGCCCAGAGTTCTATTGATAGTTTTCAAATCTGAAATTTGAACTAGTTGATAGTCATCCAGTATTTGGAATAATAGTGATACAGAAAGATTCTATTCTGATCCCCCATTCCCAGGCAATATAATCTTACTTTTCCTCTAACAGAGACAAGTTTCCTCAACCTCCTCTCTATCCTTTTGCTGTTATCACATAAGATTTGCTCAGTTGAGCAAGGCTTACATTCATGTCCATAGCTTGCTGGACTTTCCTATGAGCAATGCCACTGAACTGGGTCTTTTCCTTCTCATAAATTGAATAGAAATAGAATAAAGCCAGAATTTATCAAAAAGTGGTACTATCTGCCCCGACACTATTTTACAACTTCAGAGTGAATTTATTTATAACCTGCAGAAGTTAAGCCCTGAATTTTCAGTAGTGAACAGTTTGGTGGCCTGGCCGCATTGCCTGCGTCAGGGCTTCTCAACTCTGGCCATACATTCAAGTCACTGGAGAGCTTTTAAAATTCCTTCGGTCCCAAATCCAGAGAATCAATTTTAATTGGTCCAAAAAGTGACATCAGTGATGCATACTTTTAACTTTTACCCAAGCAAATATTAAATGTAGCCAGAATTAAGAATTTCTAGGCTAAAACTTATATCTTGCTTCCTTTCTGAGGACATGATTAAGGTACTTTTTCATAACTTTTTAAGCAATGAGCTGTGTTATTAAAATAGCACTCTGAATGACTGTAAATTAGTTATATTTTTGATAAAGCCCCTTTTTGTGTGGATGGCATTGAAGCAGTGCTAGATTACTGTTCCCTAATTAAAGGAAGACAGCCACCAGCAGGCTCATTTCGTATAAAAAACCAAAAAGACCACTTCATCAGAACAAATACACTGAATCAGAGTACAAAGGTCTTTCCCACAGTAATTAATTCTGAAACAAGTTACTCTTGTAAGTTATTTTCTAATAAGAAAAAAAACCCAAAATGAAAATCTTGTCCAAAATATCCATACAGGTGGCACAGTTGCACAGCACAGTTCACTAAAAATTCTCTGAAATTGCTACTAGTTAATAGCCTAACAGTAACTCTAGACGTGAAAACCTTTCTATTCAATTCCATGCATCTTATTTTTGCCAGCTTGCCATCACAAATACTAATATTTTCTCTAAATGCTGAGTGTAATTGAATGCCATAACTCCACATTTCTTTCTTCCTCATTCTAGTGTGTCTCAATCATTTGACATACTTGTATTTATATCTCTCCAAGCATTCTAACTCATACTCAATGTTTTAGCATCCCCCAGCATCATTCTATCATTCTTTCAATTTAAAGAAACATCACAGCTTCTGAAGGAGTTAAAACATGAACACATGAGGTGTTCACCTTTATAATGAAGGTGAGAGTGAGACTAGCTGACTGTAGTATCACCAAACATTACAGGAGTCCATCTGGATGTAACACCTGACTGAGAAATACTCTTTTAGAGTTAGCTGCATATCTACCATGTGTATGTTTTTGCTGTCTTTGAGAAGTCAAGCAAAATGACCTTAAATATACCAAGAGTGTTATTAAATAAAGCATATATTTTATTATACTTATGCTTAAGTATTTTACTTATGCTAAGTATTTTAACAATACAATATCTCTTTTAAATTCAATGAAGTTGCATTCTCTAATTTTGCTTTTATAGTGCAGCTACCAGCTTCTAGCATTGGGTTCGTTATTGCATGGGAGTTTCCAAGTACCAATAGGCTCTGATACAATATTTTGAACCTGACTGATGCATCTAATTAATAGATTTTATTTTTTACAATGAACTGCTTTGAACTGTTTAGAATGAACTACTGTATTGAACAATGAGAATATTAATGCTGTAGCAGAGTTAACTGCATGTGGCCAGCGTTTCACAGAGGATTGATACTTCTCATTGTTCAGAATGAGAGCCATGGAGGACGGAATATTCATGGATCTAGTAATTCAGAGCTGGGAATTTCCACTAATGTTGCCTAACAGAATTTGTAGTATATTATGGGTAAATTGCTCTTTTCTCAGGTAGACATTGGTGAAATCTCCATTCTTCTATCCACTAGCTGTGCGACTGTGCCATATTGTTGACCTCTCTGACCTCAGTGATCTCATTTGTAAATTGGAATTAATGATGCATGCTTTGCCAGATGTTGTATCAAATGAAGAGGCACAGCTCCATCACAGCTCCTAGCACATTGTTGTAGAGATTCAAAAAATATTCGTTCATTGCTTTCTGCAATCTCTTAATAATGTTGTCTTTCACACAAAATTCTGCTGGGTTCAGAGATGTTGTCTTCCTATTATCACCAAAATGTGATTCTTATGGCAGAGTGGAATAACTATAATTTACTGAACTCTTATTGCACAACTCTCTACCTGCATTATCTCACTTAATTCTCATAACAATCTTTTGAGTTAGCTACAGTTATCAACTTCTCTTCACAGATGAGGAACCTGATTTGCCAAGAGATAAAATCAATTTCCAGATGCCAGATAGCTAGCCAATGGAGAACTGAGACTCCAACCCAGGGAGTCTTTGTCCCTCACCTCCTCTCTTAATCACCACAGTGAGGACAGAGGCCTTTAAGGTAGAAAGAGGTTAATGATGTCCATAGAACACTAGCTATGCAACACGTTAATATGTGTCAGACTGGGAGCACGGAAAGATGGCGGGTAACCTTGCATAATAAAATATATTTAGGAGATGACTGATTACAAAAAGCCAATCAGATTGGGAGGTTTAGAATTTTGTTAGGTGTTCTTCTTTCATTCTTTTTATTGTCATCTCTGAGCCTTTAATTCTACTTTTCATACAGCAGCTCACAAAGCCAGGGCACCATTCCGCTCAGTGTCCCCAGCTACACAGATACACATACACACAATCATTCTTGAAAGTGCTGAGCCATGTAACAGTGAATTTGAAATCTTGGTGTGGCAATAATCTTGTCCATTAACCCTAGAGTCCCTGCTACCATCACCCACCCTTTTCCTTGTTCTTATGCTGGAAAATGACAAGGACAGAGAAATTTATATTAACAAGTACCTGATGTTTGATTCTCCCCATGCCCATGCTGCAGTAAAATCAGGTAACTTTGAAATGAAATCAACAGCGTTCATTAAAACCAACATAATTTGAGTCCAACCAACCAAAATATATGTGTATCTAATCTTGTGAAGTCAACATTTTGCTAAGGTGATGAACCGACTCCCTCGGGAAGTGGTTTATATTAGAGCATTGAGGCATTTGTTTGCTTTCTACAAGCTTAGTAGTGTAGCTCGGTGGAGTGTTTATTGGTCTTACTTCTTAAAACAGTTATGGTCAAATGAGTAAATGGTAATTTTGCTTTCATTATGTAATATTAGATCATCTCCGCTAATTTTCATATTAAGATGGTATAAAAAAGAAATTTCTACAATGTTACCAACCTATTTAAGGATTACAGAATTAAGGGCATTACACTGAAAGAACATATTCTTTTCCAATTGTGACAACCTCACAGTCACTATAAATCTTTCTGATTATTTATTAAACACATTAAATAACTCCTCTTGGCTCAATTTTCAAATTGTGTTCGGAATCTGACCCTGCTCTCCACTTGCTGCTGCACGTGCTGTATCCACTGCTATGCCTTGGTCCAGTTGGCCGCCATCGCATGGTGGACCAGTGTAATAACTTTCAAATGGGTCTCTCTGCTCCAATTCTTGTCTCCTTAGAGTCTGTCTTCTACACAGCAGTTACAGGAAGCCTTAATAAAAGGAAAATTAAATCTCCGCATTTCTCCACTCAAATCCTTCCAGGCTGCCCTTTACATTTAAGATGTGAACTCCTTACTGTGGCCTCCCAAGGCCTTATTGGGTATCTGGGCCCGGCCTCCAGAACATATCACTCATGATGCCGCAGCAAATTCAACCTTCTTTTGTTCCTTGCTCATGATAATCTTGCTGTTATCAAAGGGCCTTTCACTGAAAGAAATATGTTCATAATACTTTAGAAGTATTACCTGAAATTATATGATTTATTTTTCTCCCTCTTTCTGTTTCTAGAGGACAGAGACTTTTTCAATCTTATTGAAGCCTATAGCCCAGAATCAAGAACAGTACCTGGCACATAGTAGGTGCTCAAAGAATATTTTTAGCTTCAGTGAAAGGACTGACAAATGAATGACAGAGAGGATATTGACACACACATCTCTTTCAAGAGTCTGCTGTAGAATTCGCCCAACACTGTGCTCTCCCTGATGTCATTCATCACTGTGGTTTTTCTCACCTGTTAGTAATCAATACTTTGTTAGTCTTCTCACTGAGAACGTAATCTGATTACCTTATTCTTTTTCATTTAAGCTGTATTGACAAACCTTTTTGTAGAGCATTTAAAGATCTAATAGTCATCACTCTTCTTAAGAAGTAGGAGGATGCCTTTTTAACGTTACTCTTATGTGAAGTGCTCCCTAGTACTCAGTCATTTAAATGCTTCCTCTTCTGTATTAATATAGCACTTTGGATATGATTATTCACACTCAGTTCACTAGATGATAATAACTGCTTTCTATATCTATCTTATTCGTATTGCCTAGCACATACTATCTACTCAATGAAGGGTAAGTGGATAAGTGGTGATTGCGTAAATGTATGGAAGGATGAATGTGGATAGAATAAACGCTGGCACACTGACACAATGGAAAGCAGCTTATCTGCAGAATTTGCTTAGCTGTGGGATTGACTGAGTACAGCTCCAGCAGTACCCTCACTCTGACTGGCTAGATAGGACTTCAGAACAATGATAGCATTAAGGAGAAATAGATAACAATCGACCTGCAGAGAATAAGCCTGGAGCTTCATTATCACCATGTTCTAACCACTGAGTAAACCATCTATGGACCGTTAGATTTACTCCTCACAGGAAACTTTGGTGGAATAATACTTTTAAAAGTCATGGCATTTACAAGCAGTCAGAAATCCAGTTTCAGGTACTAACTACATCACTAACTACAAGGGTACGCACCATCCGTGCCTTGGTTTCCTGATTTGCGAAATGGAGGTATCAGTATTATGGTTTGATTCCTTCTTATAATGTAAATAGAGATTATTTGAGCAGAATTGGATTAAGAGCTTTTATAAGATACTAGTGAGAATATATGTTGGAGATGATGTATAAATAATAAAGTATGAAAATAACCTTGGGCCATTATTGTTATTATTATTTTAAGCTTAAGCTTGACTACTCTGGCAACCCTGGAACACAGCATCATTAGCCCTGTATGGGAAGGTTGCACAGTTGCACATAAGTGGAGGCCAACTAATAAGATCACTCATGCATATTGAGAATTGTTCATGAGCGACCTCATCCATTTCCTAATGCTCCAGGAGTTATAATACAATGTAACAAAATAATGAAATAAAATGGCATTATAATAAGAATGATTGAGCTGGAATAATTTGGCTATTAAAATCACAATCCTAGAGATAGCTGTCAAGTTTATGGTGTAGTCATACTACTCTGCCATATTGATCAGTTCCCTCAAATCTTGAGCTGATGCTGGTTTGCAAACAAAATTTAGAAGACTTATTGGATTCTCACTTGACTCAACAAAAGCTTTCATCGTAAATCATATTACTGATGATAGGAAAAGGGATTTGTAGATTAAAGTTTAAATTGTTCCTTGGCATACTCAAGGTAATTACATTGTTTCCTATACGCTTCAGCTTTAAAATGAAAGATAGGGCTTTTTTGGTAGCCCCAAATTACATAATTTGTTTTGTAGATTCCTGGGTACTAGAATTGTGAATTTAAAGAAAGACCAAAGAGAGTATATGTTTCTTCAAGACCTTATGTGTACAAGTCACATAAATTTTTCCATTTAATCCTTGGAGAATATTAGTTCTCTTTCCATTAGATCAGGCTCCCTGCTTCAACATATTAAATGATTTTCTTAAGCTTTGAGAATTTTTTTTAATATAACAGCTTTAGTTGAGATGTAATTCCTGTACCATACAATTCACCTGTTTAAAGTGCACAGTTCAGTAGTTTTTAGTATGTTCACAGAGATGTGCACCCTTCACCACAATCAATTTAGAACATTGCGTCACCTCCAGAAGAAACCTCATACCTCTTAGTAGTCACCTGTTATTCTCACCCCAATCCTTCAAGCCAGAGACAACTATGAATTTACTTTATTTCTCTATAGATTATTCTGGACAGTTCATATAAAAGGACTCATACGATGTTTGGTCTCTTCTGACTGGCATTTTTCACTTAGCATAATGTTTCCAGGGTTCATCCATGTTTTAGCATTAATCATTAGTTCATTCCTTTTATTACTGAGTTATTCCACGGTAAGGATAAACCACATTTGATTTAATTATTTGCAAACATTTTCTCCCATTCTGTAGGTTGTCTTTTCACTTCCTTGATGCTGTTCTTTAAAGCACAAAACTTTGAATTTTTATGAAATCCAATTTGTCTACTTTTTCTTTTTTAAAATGTTGTGTCTTCCTATCATTCACCTACTAGAGAGCAGTAAGATTTCCATTTGTCATAATCAAAATTATCCTACCTATTGTATGAGAAAGTTGTTCAATGTTTTAGTTGTTTGAAAGTCTATTTTTCTTAATTATTGAACTTTATGGATTTTAAGGCATTATCAGTTGCAAGAAGGATCATCAAATTAATAAGCACTTTTAGGAAAAATGGTTTGCTACCATGTTAAATAAATACACGGACTATTTACTCCATCCTAATTTCAGAAATACTAAAATGTGGGAGAAAAACGTCTTAAGAAAAGTAAATGTGATATATATTTGGCATTGTAATTTAGAATCATTGCTTAAACTATTCACTTTATTTGACATTTAATTGATGCTCTGGGCATATGTGAAAGAAAGGTCTTGTCACCACATGGGGTAAATTTCATACAAGTAAGAGTTTATGCCCTTGATAAGAACCAAAACATGTTGGTGGGTTTCATGTCTATTTCAGAGGATCCTACTGATGGAAGAGGGATTAGCTTCATTAATCAAAATGAAATGTGGTCCTCTTCCTTGTTGCTCTCAGCTATTGATTGGCATTAGTACCAACTCCAAAAAGTTTTTAAAATTCTGCCATTTATGATACAAATAATCTTCTGGCAAGAATAACAGGAAAAGGTCTGAGGGGGAGGGGAAACTACCATTTCACAGCCAAAATAAATAAAATCTTTCACATTTGTTTCATGCTGTAGTTTTTCACTCTTTGTCCTTAAGTTTACATACTTTTACAAAGTTGCATTCAGAAGAGAAAGCACATTTAAAATAAAATATATCAAAATAGTCAAAAAACAACTTTTTAACTGAATATTATATTTGAACTATGTGTATATGTTGCCAGTCTGTAAAATTAGCAATTTAATGGATGGAAAATATTCCCACATATAAGTATACCATTCATTCACCAATTTATTCAGCAAATACTAATTGCTTACGATGCACTATACAGTGAACTAAATGCTGGAAATGTAGCAGTGAACCAAACAGACACTGCACTGATGGCACTTACAGTGGGAAGAGGCGGGTCATAAGATGGCAATTGTTTCTGTATTTTATTATCCGTAGGCTTCAGAGAACATTCTTGTGGACGTAGACTTGCTTTCCTTTAGATTTTGATTTTAGGATCACTCTCCCATTGTGCTGTTAAGACATATTGACACATTTTGTTCCATAAGTTTTACTAATTTATATCGTTACAGAACATAAATGATTATATCAGTTTCCCTAGCATCTTGCCACCAATGGGTATTTTTTATTTAAAAAAAGATGCAAAAGAATATTTATATACTAGCATAAAATAGTACCATTTTTTATTTTAAATTCTTGGTCACAGAGAATATTAAACGACATAAAAATTTACTACTTGTCTGTCGATAGTCCTTATCTTTATCCTCCAGTTTACCTGTGTGACTTACTGCTTCACCTCATCAGGTCTTTGCTCAAATGTTCCTAGGTTTCTCTGAATTAAAATAACACCCCCTCCACACCTTGGACACCTGCATCCTTCCTCTCTTCTATATTTTTCTCCAATGCACCGACCACAAAACATACTTAATACTTTACTTCACTTTTTTTCTTGTTTGTCTCTTATTTGACTGTTCCGTGAAGGCAGAGTTTTGTTTGCTGCTATATCTCCAAGGCTTAAAAGAATATCTGCATAGCATACATGTATAATAAATAATTATTGAACAGATGAATGAGATGTAATTTACCTAAATCTAGGGGAAACATTATAGTATATTCACAAATATCTACTTTGGAACCACATCCAGATGTGTTTCAGTTCTGGATGCACCTCTTACTGGTTTAGTGACTTTGGCATGCTATTTAATTTCTGTATGCCTTAGTTTATTTATTAATAAATGGGGGTAAAAATGATACCCACTTTGTAGAGCTGTTAGAAGGATTGAAGGAAAGAATACGTGCAGAGTTTCTGGCTGTTAGAATGTACTCAGCAAATGTTAACCACCAATCAGGTGTTAGCTGTTATTAAGAGGTCTAGGTATAACCTTAAATGCTTAGAACATTTTAATATAATTGGCAATTAACTGCATCTTAAGACATAATCTGACCTGTCCAATCTTAGTTCATACCACTGCTAAGAACGTGATACTACTAACTGTGCATGGCATTACGTTATGGCAGATTTTAAGCATTACTACTAAAAGAAATTAATATGTGTTTTATAGACAAAATTGTTCTGTATTCTGTTACAATACTAAGTCACATGACTGAACTCTTGAAAGCACTATATATAGTTGTCCATGTCAAAGTTCATATTTGAAAGGTATTACTAGATTGAATAAATTACATCTCTCCAAAAAATTTTCATTTATTTGAAAGGCTAAATATATAGGAATCTGTCTGCTTTTGGATTTGAAGAGACATTTATATCACATGGAATACAATTTTGTGAAGGATGTCAGAAGTTCTTGGTCATACTTACAACCACTATAGATATTTCCTATTTTATACTCTTTTACCTTGATTATGGCTTGTTCATTATTCATGTACATCCTTGTATGTGATTTATATTACAGTGTCTTACCTTTTTTTTTGTCATTCCAATGGTAATTATCATTTTGCAATGTTCTCTTTTCCTTTTTTGAAGTTATAGTTTCATTTCAACCTCCTAATATACGTTTAATCTTTCCTGTAATGTTTGTTAGCATTTCTTCTATGGTTTCTCAGACTTCTTACATCCTTCAGTTAAATTCACATATATAAAATTTTTCAACTTTTAATAAAACAAATTCTAAAATCAACAGTTTTTTTTTTTTTTTTTTAAGAATTGGCACCTGGGCTAACAACTGTTGCCAATCTTTTTTTTCTGCTTTATTTCCCAAAAGCCCCTGCCCCCCCCCCCCCCCCAGTACATCGTTGTATATCTTAGTTGCAGGTCCTTCTAGTTGTGGGATGTGGGATGCCACCTCAACGTGGCCTGATGAGTGGTGCCATGTCCACGCCCAGGATCTGAACCCTGGGCCGCCGCAGCCGAACACGCGAACTTAACCACTCGGCCACGGAGCCGGCCCCTCAAAATCGATAGTTTTTAATTAAGCAAATAAATGCTTAGGAATCTATTTAATTCTTAGAAATATCTCTATTTTCAAGTTTCAAAAGAGATCTTATGTCCAATAGAGTTTGCATGATTCTAATTTTATTTTCAAAAAGTTTAAGTATGTTAAATAGCAGAGATGCATTTATTTGTTATGAAAGTTACTGTAGTGTTGGCATTAATCCAGTAATAGGCAAGCTTTCATGTTATTGCATTTTTTGCTTATTTATAGGATGGATGGGTCATTTGAAAAATTATATTTGGGCAAACCTTGGGAAAATGTGAAACAAAGAGAGAACAGTACATTTAAAGAAAGAGAATGGTCGTTTTTACTAATCACCAAAAAACAACCAACTCAGCCAGCTTTATTTGTGAAACAAAGAAATAGAGGCTTCTTGTTTTTTTTTTTAAAGATCTTATTTTTTTCCTTTTTCTCCCCAAAGCCCCCCGGTACATAGTTGTATATTCTTCGTTGTGGGTCCTTCTAGTTGTGGCATGTGGGACGCCGCCTCAGCGTGGTTTGATGAGCAGTGCCATGTCTGCGCCCAGGATTCGAACCAACGAAACACTGGGCCGCCTGCAGTGGAGCGTGCGAACTTAACTACTCGGTCACAGGGCCAGCCCCTAGGCTTACTTCTTTTTAAAAAAATAAGAGAGAGAAAAGGAAGAACAATAAAAATGAATGTAATTTTCTCTCTCTCTTTTCTAGCCCTAGGAAAAGATAAAGATTACATGGATGAATCAGAACATGCTAACTATGACCGATCTCGTCTCATTAAAGACTCTGTTCCCAAAGATAGTTCTGAATCCAAGACAAGATTGTCTAAGGTAATGCAAATTAAACTGCCAGTAAGTCATGTGAAGACCGTAACTTCTAAAACCATTCAGTTCTTTTCAATATTAATCTATATTGTGCTGGAGAGTATAAGAGGGCGTACAGTTTAATAGACACCTTTAAAGACTCAAAAATGAAAAGTTACGTGTAGACGTCATATTCATTTATATTATCAAACAGAATTTTTAAAAATCTGAAATGTAAAATTATTCAGTAATATTTTCGTTAGGTGTTTATTTCTTCATTTTTCATATTTTTTGAAGGGCAGCATGGTTTAATGAGAACATGGAGTTTAGTATCAAATGGACCAGGATTTGAATTCTAGTTCTGCTGCTGACTAGTTATGATGACTTCAGCAGGTTCATTAAACTTGCTGAGTCTTGTTTTCCTCATCTGTAAAATTAGACTCACGTTGTCTGCTGACAAAATTCTTTGATGACTACGTGAGATAACCATATGGAAGCATCTAGAGCACAGTAAAAGCTGAGTCTATGGCAGGTTTTGTAACAACTTAGAGGTTGAGAATACCTCACTGAAACTTATAGTTCATCAACAAATTAATAACTGGGATGGAGTTCAGTTTACAAGCCCCTGGCTCCAGAATCTCACCATCCCTCAGACAGAGCGATTTTGTGGACTCTTCAGAGCATCTGAGTCTGGTAATCCAACCAGAAGCCACCCTTTTGATGCTTTCCAAGACAAATCCTGGCTCAACGCAAGCTCCTTCTTTTTTCATTGTTTCTTACGGATTAAGTGGAAATGGCTTGTAAAAGAAATTTGCAGTTTAACACAAGGAATGACTTAGCTTTCATTGTCACTGCATGTCTGATAATCTCATCCTTGAATATATATTTCTCTGTGATGTTTGGTTTGGTTCAACTTGGATTAATTTTGCAAAACCCTTCGTTAGTCACCATGAAAGCCTTAGTGAAGAAATGCGGCACAATTTAGATATTACTATCACAAGTGAGACCAAATGGGTGCAGGGATAAATACTTGTGTGAAATTTCTTTATTCCTCTTTGGTTTTGTTTTGCTAAATGGGGTCACTATTTTATGCTAATAATTCTTAGATTATCTTCACCAATCAGGAGTTAATCTCCCACGTTTACTTCATCTGCCTCACTGTGTCTGTCTGATCAACACAATGGATGTTTAGAATGTCTCTGCTATGTCTGTACAGCATTGTTCCAAGTTACCTGAGAGGAGTTATAAGAAAAATTGAGAAAACAACAGATGTTGCCTTAAGATGCTGATAGCACCAATGGGAAGACAAACACAGTATGCTTCACATTATTAGAAAATAAACTGAGATTAAATGCAATCCATGTTACCTGCTTCTTTAGAATTTACCAGATGCCACCAATGACACCCACCATTTCATTTATGCTCCATAGTGGCCATTTCCCAAATATCACTTTGAATAGACTTGAATTTTAGAATATAAAGTTAAGAAGAAATAGTTAAACCTGCATGCATATTTTGTTTTTGGCATTAAAATAGGAGAATGATGTGTGGTGATGGTAACAGACCACAGTTGTTCAATCTAAAATATCCTAGTCTAATGTCTTATTGAATCTGCCTGATTACATACTCTTCTACTCAAACTGTAAAAAATTGTCATGCAAGGTCGGCCCCGTGGCATAGTGGTTAAGTTTAGTGTGCTCTGCTTCAGTGGCCTGGGGTTCAAGGGTTTTCCCTGGCACAGACCTACACCACTCGCCAACCATGCTGTGGCAGCGACCCACATACAAAATACTGGAAGATTGGCATGGATGTTAGCTTGGGGCTAATCTTCCTCAAGCAAAGAAAAAAAGAAAAGAAAAAAGAGGAAGATTGGCAACAGCTGTTAGCTCAGGGCCAATCTTCCTCACACACATACACAAAAAATTGTCATGGATCACCTGAACATTTTGGAGTTGCTCTTCTAACTTTTATCAAAATATGCCCACTTTTATCCTTTTCATAGTTCAAAGCACAGCACAAATTACATTTGAACAAATGGTTCCATTACAAAAAGAAAAAGGTGTTTAAAGTCCATTAGCTAGTTGCTTGCAAAGCTTATTTACAAATGAAGGGCAAAATAATCTGCTCAGAATGTGTTCTTTGTGCACATTTGTCACAGGAAACCTCAAAAAGCAATGACCTATAGGGGCTAGCCTGTTGGCGTGGTGGTTAGGTTCTCATGCTCCTCTTTGGCAGCCTGGGGTTTGCAGGTTTGGATCCTGGGTGTAGACATAGCAATGCTCATCAAGCTATGTTGTGGCAGCATCCCACTTAAAAAAAAAAAAATAGAGGAAGATTGTTATAGATGTTAGTTCAGTGACAATCTTCCTCAAGCAAAAAGAGGAAGATTGGCAACAGATGTTAGCTCAGGGCCAGTCTTCCTCACAGAAAAAAATTAGAAAAAAAAAAGCAGTGACCTATATTTCTACTCTTTGGATGTTTCTGGATACCCTTCAATTTATAAATTTGTTGATCTTCCTCTTATTCTACCCCACCATTAAATGATATGAGTATATATGTGTAAATGTGTATGTATGAAAGTGTATATATTTTAAATTGTATCTTATGTAATTGATGCTATTAATTCATTTATGCCCTACAAAATAGCAACTTCCATATGGCTTAAATTAACATGTATTGATATATATGTATATAATTACGTGCCTGAAGATCTGTGCCTCACACATTATTTGTTGGGATAATTGTACTGGTTGCAACCTGCCCATACATATTATGCAATGTAACTGATATTTTATTTTCTTTACAAAAGTTACTCTATTGGAAAGGGACCATTTTCAAGTTGACAGGAAGGTTTATAAAGAGTTAACAGGAAAGGAGCACAAACTCTCAGGGAAAAGTAAATCCTAATGTAAACTACATTATGAGTAATGATAAATATTGGATTACAGAAAAAAATAGAACTTTCTAACAAAATTTGCCATCAGCTATAAACTAGGTTCATAGGAAATAACTCCAAACCCTCTAAGGTGGTGTCTTGCATTGAATTTATGTGGAAACTCTGTTGAGCTTGTCACCTGTAAAAACAAACAAATGAACAAACATCTAGAAATACATCTGGCTAGTTGACTGGGCATTGTCTGTTACATCTGTTTAAGCATTTGATTTGTCAACCATTGTGCAAACAGTTCCTGAGTGATGTTGGCTCAGCATGGTGACTTTTTACTTTGATCATGTATCCACTGCTTATGATAATTTAGTAAGCTAATATATGGGTAAGTCACTATAGTTTGTTCTAGAATTAATCTTCAGACGAATTATATCTTTAGAATATTTTGCTTCAAATCATGAATTTTTTTAGCATGTGTCCTTTACACTAAAATTATTTAGTGTTTTAGAGATTAAAAACATCTGTAATATTGATATCTAAGATGATTAAGTGATATTGATAAAGTAATGGTGTATCTTTTTTTATTTATTTGGAAGCTACTATTTCTAAAGCTTGGCACTTTAGGATGGAGAAAGATGACAAACACAGGTAGGTTTTGCTGTGCAGATACTGTATGCAGTACAGGATGCATGCATATAAATGGAGAAAGCTCAGAGGCTCTAGAAATTAGAGATGACACTAAATATGGAATAAATCTAGCTTTAGCTAGCCTCAAGTTTTATAATAGAAGCCATATATGAATATCTTATGATCCACCCGATCAAAAAATGAGCAAAGGATATGAACAGGCATTTTTCCACAGAAGATATACAGAGGGCCAACAGGCACATGAAAAGATGTTCAATGTCACTAATTATGAGGGAAATGCAAATCAAAAGTACAATGAGATATCACCTCACATCTGTTGGAATGTTTGTTATTAAAAAGACAAGAAATAATAAGTGTTGGAAAAGATGTGGAGAAAAGGGAACCCTCATATACTAATTCGAAAAGATATTTGCACCCTATGTTCACTGCAGCAATATTCACAATAGCCAAGACTTACAAGCAACCTAAGTGCCCATCAATAGATGAAAGGATAAAGAAGATGTAGTGTGTGTATATACATGTATATACACACACATATACACACACACACACACACACACACATACACACACACAGGAATACTACTCAGCCATGCCATTTGCAACAACATGGATGGACCTTGAGGGTATTATACTAAGCAAAATAAGTCAGACAAAGACAAATACTGCATGATTTCACTCATGTGTGGAAAATAAACAAACAAACATATGGATAAGGAGAACAGATTGGGTGTTACCAGAGGGGAAGGGGGTGGGAGAAGGGTGAAAGGAGTAAAGGGTCACATATGTGTGATGACAGATAAAAACTAGACTACTGGTGATGAGCACGGTGCAGGCTATACAGAAGCCGAAATATAATGATATACAGCTGAAATTTACACAGTGTTATAAACCAATGTGACCCCAATAAAATAGTAATAAAAATAAATAAATAATTTAAATAAATACGTACATCTCTTTGAGGCATTGTGGTAAGTAGAAAATTGGCCTTTCTTTCCCCTATCTACTCTATTTTCAATGAGACTTAGCAGCTCCTCCCATCAGGAGGTAGAATCTACTGTACTGGCCTTGGGTCTTGCTTTGGCCAATAGACTGCTGCAGAAGTGACAGTGTGCCACTGCTGAGCCTGGGACTCAAAAGATCTTGTGCTCTCATTCTTTCTCTTGGGACTCTACCTCCACCATGTGGACAAGCCAAAACTTGCCTGCAGGAGGATGAGACCATGCGGACCAGATCCTTTGAGCCCAGTTGCCCCAGTTGAAGCAGAGGTGTGAGAAAATCCAGTGGCCAAGACCAGGAAACTCAGACCCATGAGAAAGTCCAGCTGAGACCAGAAGAACTACCAAGCTGGGACCAGACTACCCATAGAATCATGAGCTAAATAAAAGTTGTTTGGGGGTCTGGCCCTGTAGTATAGTGAGTGAGTCTGGCATGCTCTGCTTTTGCCCCCTGGGTTTGCAGGTTCAGTTTTGGGGCGTGGACCTACACTACTC